TCCATCCATCCATCCATCCATCCATCCATCCATCCATCCATCCATCCATCCATCCATCCATCCATCCGGAGAGTTCATGTTATTCTTCTACTGTTTTAAAACACAACTTTTTATAAAACTGATTTAAATAATTAATAATTGTGCAGTTTTCTTTTTTTTTATATAAAATAAATCGTGTGTGCTGAATAAAAAAAGAGCATTTTGCACGCCCTTTTAATGTGCTTTATATCAATTCCGACAACGCTTTTTAAAATTTATCATCAGTGTATATTTTTGTAACTGTGGAAATTATCTTTTTTGTGGTAAATCAAAAAGGGTGTTAGAAACACAAACATTGCACCATAAAGATAACAGTCATGATAATACACAATATGTTGTACTGGAAAGTTGAAAATATAATATTAGTAGTAATTTTAATGGTAGATTAGAAAATTTTGTTAAAAAATCTCACTTAAGCAAATAAAAACCTTTTATACAAGCTATATTACAACCCATTGACTTAATCTTTAGTTATTAATGAGCGCACTGAAAAGCTGGCTTTTATTGTGAAAATCTGCTCTTAAACCGGAAGTCTTTACGTCCTCTTAAAAAAAAACAAAAAAACCCTCCGAAACCCCAAAGCTCCAACATGTATTTACTAAATTGAACATGTAAAAGTAAAAGCATCCCTCCGGAATTTATACCGCGACCAAAGGACGCGTTAAAAGCAACTTTAATCTCGTAAGCTCCATCCGTCGGTTGTTATTAAGCCGTAATGGCTGCCACCCCTCCCGGACAAGGCTTCCCGAACAAGACTCGTGTGGCCATCTTGGCAGAGCTGGACAAGGAGAAGAGGCGGCTGATGCAGAGCCAGTCCATGAACAACCCCGGAGCCAACATCCCCATGTCTGCCCGGAGCAGCCTGAAGGAGGCAAGGGACAGCGCGGAGCAGCAGCACATCGCCGCCCAGCAGAAGGCCGCCCTGCAGCACGCCCACATCCACTCCTCCGGCTTCTTCATCACCCAGGACTCCTCGTTCGGGAATCTCATCCTCCCGGTGCTCCCCAGGCTGGCGCCCGACCTCCGGCTCCTCACCCTCCCGATCCTCCCCAGGCTGGAGCCCGACCTCTGACTTCTCATCCTCCCGGTGCTCCCCAGGCTGGAGCCCGACCTCTGACTCCTCATCCTCCCGGTG